GCAAGCAAGCCTGTGAAACAGCAGTGGGGAGCATTCAAAGAGCAACTTAAAAAGGTGAGGGACTGTGCAATGGGTATTATTCAGCCTTAAAAAGGAATGGCATTCTGACCCATGGTATAACATGGAAGAACCTTGAAAACATTATGCTGAGTGAAATAAGCCAGGTACAAAAGGATAAATATTATATGATTCCATTTACACGAAGTCCCCGAGTAGTTGAATTCCTATAGAAACAGAATAGGTTACCAGGGGCTGAGGAGAGGGAGAGAACAGGCGTTAGTGTTTAGTGGGTACAGAGCTGCAGTTCGGGGTGATGAAAAAATTCTGAAGATGGATGGTTGTGATGGTCGCCCACCGATGTGAAGGTACTAATGCCACTGAACTACACACTTAAAAATGGTTAGAATGCTCATGTTGGTTATATATATATTTTTACCCCAATAAACTAAAAAAAGGTAAAGAAAACCCAGAGCCTGTGCTTTGGTTCACTGGTGTTTTAGAACCACAGGCTCAAGCAAGGTAATGAGTGTTTTCATGGGGGTTGAAAAGCTTGATCATACACCATGTCATCAGTGGAATGATCATGACATATTTGTTGGTGGTAGCAAAGAAAACATCCGCCTAACTCGCCAGTGTTTCTTTCAGACTAGTCACAGTTTAAGACTTCTGCAGGAAGCACTTATGCCTGTGGCTGCACTTGACCTTGGAGGGAGCCTCCAGACCATTTTAGGGCTACAGAAAAAATGGAGTGCAATGAAGCCTCAGTTCCAGGTGAGGAAACAAACCGATGGATGTGGGTGAACGGAAACACCTTTTTTAGCTGTTTAGTTGTGGTTTACCTAATTGATTGTGATGAATTAATATTTTTTTAAACAAAATATTGCTTTTCTAAACATCCACTTAAAAACACGTTTTGTCTTACTGTTTTCCTGCACTATTCTGGATTTGATGATACACCAACATTCGGGCTACAAAATGTTCTTAACGTAGTCTTAGATTAATTTACATTGACATATTTTATTAATATATTCATTCTAATCACTTTGCTAAGAGTATAGACATGTTTTAGATCAAGCCATCTTA